CCTTCCAGACCAGGTAACACTTGGACTTTTGAGTCGAGTCACAAGTCACCTCAGAGGCTGTGGGTCACATGGGCCTTCCAGACCAGGTAACACTTTGACTTTTGAGTCGAGTCACAAGTCACCTCAGAGGCTGTGGGTCACATGGGCCTTCCAGACCAGGTAACACTTGGACTTTTGAGTCGAGTCACAAGTCACCTCAGAGGCTGTGGGGCACATGGGCCTTCCAGACCAGGTAACACTTGGACTTTTGAGTCGAGTCACAAGTCACCTCAGAGGCTGTGGGTCACATGGGCCTTCCAGACCAGGTAACACTTGGACTTTTGAGTCGAGTCACAAGTCACCTCAGAGGCTGTGGGGCACATGGGCCTTCCAGACCAGGTAACACTTGGACTTTTGAGTCGAGTCACAAGTCACCTCAGAGGCTGTGGGGCACATGGGCCTTCCAGACCAGGTAACACTTGGACTTTTGAGTCGAGTCACAAGTCACCTCAGAGGCTGTGGGTCACATGGGCCTTCCAGACCAGGTAACACTTTGACTTTTGAGTCGAGTCAGAAGTCACCTCAGAGGCTGTGGGTCACATGGGCCTTCCAGACCAGGTAACACTTGGACTTTTGAGTCGAGTCACAAGTCACCTCAGAGGCTGTGGGGCACATGGGCCTTCCAGACCAGGTAACACTTGGACTTTTGAGTCGAGTCACAAGTCACCTCAGAGGCTGTGGGTCACATGGGCCTTCCAGACCAGGTAACACTTTGACTTTTGAGTCGAGTCACAAGTCACCTCAGAGGCTGTGGGTCACATGGGCCTTCCAGACCAGGTAACACTTGGACTTTTGAGTCGAGTCACAAGTCACCTCAGAGGCTGTGGGGCACATGGGCCTTCCAGACCAGGTAACACTTGGACTTTTGAGTCGAGTCACAAGTCACCTCAGAGGCTGTGGGTCACATGGGCCTTCCAGACCAGGTAACACTTTGACTTTTGAGTCGAGTCACAAGTCACCTCAGAGGCTGTGGGTCACATGGGCCTTCCAGACCAGGTAACACTTGGACTTTTGAGTCGAGTCACAAGTCACCTCAGAGGCTGTGGGGCACATGGGCCTTCCAGACCAGGTAACACTTGGACTTTTGAGTCGAGTCACAAGTCACCTCAGAGGCTGTGGGGCACATGGGCCTTCCAGACCAGGTAACACTTGGACTTTTGAGTCGAGTCACAAGTCACCTCAGAGGCTGTGGGTCACATGGGCCTTCCAGACCAGGTAACACTTTGACTTTTGAGTCGAGTCAGAAGTCACCTCAGAGGCTGTGGGTCACATGGGCCTTCCAGACCAGGTAACACTTGGACTTTTGAGTCGAGTCACAAGTCACCTCAGAGGCTGTGGGTCACATGGGCCTTCCAGACCAGGTAACACTTTGACTTTTGAGTCGAGTCAGAAGTCACCTCAGAGGCTGTGGGTCACATGGGCCTTCCAGACCAGGTAACACTTGGACTTTTGAGTCGAGTCACAAGTCACCTCAGAGGCTGTGGGTCACATGGGCCTTCCAGACCAGGTAACACTTTGACTTTTGAGTCGAGTCACAAGTCACCTCAGAGGCTGTGGGTCACATGGGCCTTCCAGACCAGGTAACACTTTGACTTTTGAGTCGAGTCACAAGTCACCTCAGAGGCTGTGGGTCACATGGGCCTTCCAGACCAGGTAACACTTTGACTTTTGAGTCGAGTCACAAGTCACCTCAGAGGCTGTGGGTCACATGGGCCTTCCAGACCAGGTAACACTTGGACTTTTGAGTCGAGTCACAAGTCACCTCAGAGGCTGTGGGTCACATGGGCCTTCCAGACCAGGTAACACTTTGACTTTTGAGTCGAGTCACAAGTCACCTCAGAGGCTGTGGGTCACATGGGCCTTCCAGACCAGGTAACACTTGGACTTTTGAGTCGAGTCACAAGTCACCTCAGAGGCTGTGGGTCACATGGGCCTTCCAGACCAGGTAACACTTTGACTTTTGAGTCGAGTCACAAGTCACCTCAGAGGCTGTGGGTCACATGGGCCTTCCAGACCAGGTAACACTTTGACTTTTGAGTCGAGTCACAAGTCACCTCAGAGGCTGTGGGTCACATGGGCCTTCCAGACCAGGTAACACTTGGACTTTTGAGTCGAGTCACAAGTCACCTCAGAGGCTGTGGGGCACATGGGCCTTCCAGACCAGGTAACACTTGGACTTTTGAGTCGAGTCACAAGTCACCTCAGAGGCTGTGGGGCACATGGGCCTTCCAGACCAGGTAACACTTGGACTTTTGAGTCGAGTCACAAGTCACCTCAGAGGCTGTGGGTCACATGGGCCTTCCAGACCAGGTAACACTTTGACTTTTGAGTCGAGTCACAAGTCACCTCAGAGGCTGTGGGTCACATGGGCCTTCCAGACCAGGTAACACTTGGACTTTTGAGTCGAGTCACAAGTCACCTCAGAGGCTGTGGGTCACATGGGCCTTCCAGACCAGGTAACACTTTGACTTTTGAGTCGAGTCAGAAGTCACCTCAGAGGCTGTGGGTCACATGGGCCTTCCAGACCAGGTAACACTTGGACTTTTGAGTCGAGTCACAAGTCACCTCAGAGGCTGTGGGTCACATGGGCCTTCCAGACCAGGTAACACTTTGACTTTTGAGTCGAGTCACAAGTCACCTCAGAGGCTGTGGGTCACATGGGCCTTCCAGACCAGGTAACACTTTGACTTTTGAGTCGAGTCACAAGTCACCTCAGAGGCTGTGGGTCACATGGGCCTTCCAGACCAGGTAACACTTTGACTTTTGAGTCGAGTCACAAGTCACCTCAGAGGCTGTGGGTCACATGGGCCTTCCAGACCAGGTAACACTTGGACTTTTGAGTCGAGTCACAAGTCACCTCAGAGGCTGTGGGTCACATGGGCCTTCCAGACCAGGTAACACTTTGACTTTTGAGTCGAGTCAGAAGTCACCTCAGAGGCTGTGGGTCACATGGGCCTTCCAGACCAGGTAACACTTGGACTTTTGAGTCGAGTCACAAGTCACCTCAGAGGCTGTGGGTCACATGGGCCTTCCAGACCAGGTAACACTTGGACTTTTGAGTCGAGTCACAAGTCACCTCAGAGGCTGTGGGGCACATGGGCCTTCCAGACCAGGTAACACTTGGACTTTTGAGTCGAGTCACAAGTCACCTCAGAGGCTGTGGGGCACATGGGCCTTCCAGACCAGGTAACACTTGGACTTTTGAGTCGAGTCACAAGTCACCTCAGAGGCTGTGGGTCACATGGGCCTTCCAGACCAGGTAACACTTTGACTTTTGAGTCGAGTCACAAGTCACCTCAGAGGCTGTGGGTCACATGGGCCTTCCAGACCAGGTAACACTTGGACTTTTGAGTCGAGTCACAAGTCACCTCAGAGGCTGTGGGTCACATGGGCCTTCCAGACCAGGTAACACTTTGACTTTTGAGTCGAGTCAGAAGTCACCTCAGAGGCTGTGGGTCACATGGGCCTTCCAGACCAGGTAACACTTGGACTTTTGAGTCGAGTCACAAGTCACCTCAGAGGCTGTGGGGCACATGGGCCTTCCAGACCAGGTAACACTTTGACTTTTGAGTCGAGTCACAAGTCACCTCAGAGGCTGTGGGTCACATGGGCCTTCCAGACCAGGTAACACTTTGACTTTTGAGTCGAGTCACAAGTCACCTCAGAGGCTGTGGGTCACATGGGCCTTCCAGACCAGGTAACACTTTGACTTTTGAGTCGAGTCACAAGTCACCTCAGAGGCTGTGGGTCACATGGGCCTTCCAGACCAGGTAACACTTTGACTTTTGAGTCGAGTCAGAAGTCACCTCAGAGGCTGTGGGTCACATGGGCCTTCCAGACCAGGTAACACTTGGACTTTTGAGTCGAGTCACAAGTCACCTCAGAGGCTGTGGGTCACATGGGCCTTCCAGACCAGGTAACACTTGGACTTTTGAGTCGAGTCACAAGTCACCTCAGAGGCTGTGGGTCACATGGGCCTTCCAGACCAGGTAACACTTTGACTTTTGAGTCGAGTCACAAGTCACCTCAGAGGCTGTGGGTCACATGGGCCTTCCAGACCAGGTAACACTTTGACTTTTGAGTCGAGTCACAAGTCACCTCAGAGGCTGTGGGTCACATGGGCCTTCCAGACCAGGTAACACTTGGACTTTTGAGTCGAGTCACAAGTCACCTCAGAGGCTGTGGGTCACATGGGCCTTCCAGACCAGGTAACACTTTGACTTTTGAGTCGAGTCAGAAGTCACCTCAGAGGCTGTGGGTCACATGGGCCTTCCAGACCAGGTAACACTTGGACTTTTGAGTCGAGTCACAAGTCACCTCAGAGGCTGTGGGTCACATGGGCCTTCCAGACCAGGTAACACTTTGACTTTTGAGTCGAGTCACAAGTCACCTCAGAGGCTGTGGGTCACATGGGCCTTCCAGACCAGGTAACACTTTGACTTTTGAGTCGAGTCACAAGTCACCTCAGAGGCTGTGGGTCACATGGGCCTTCCAGACCAGGTAACACTTTGACTTTTGAGTCGAGTCACAAGTCACCTCAGAGGCTGGCCCTTTTTGTGAAGTTTTTGTTTGTGAAGTTTTTTTTTTTTTTTTTTTTCTTCGGTGGGGGGGGTGGGGGGGGGGGAAGGGCCAGGCCAGTGTATGAAGTGATGGTTTGTCTGTTGCGCACTCAGCTCACAGAGGTTGGGTTGGATCCTTCCTTACTCCGCCCGCCCCATTCTTCTCCACTCCACTCCTTCCCTTTGCTTTGCTACCCCTCGCCCTCACAGGTCGTGTGGTTGAAGCACAGGGTGCGCCACATGCCAGCAGACGTGCACTCACAAGTCTGATCCCTCCTCACTGTCCCCCTCTCTTCACCCTCGCCTCTCTGCAAATCCCTGTGCTGCTGTGTGTTGTCTTTCTCCCTTCTCCCCTCCCCCCCTCCCTCTCAGGTCGTGTGGTTGAAGCACAGGGTGCGCCACATGCCAGCAGACGTGCACTCCGAAGTCTGGTCCCTCCTCCGCAGCCAACTCGCTCACATCACCCTCTCCAACCGCCCCTCCGCCTTCCCCCCCGCGCCCTTCACCACCCCCTCCGCCCTCTCAACCCCCTCAACCCTCTCCGCCTCCACAGCCCCCGCCCCCACCGCCCTCCCCTCCTCTTCCTCCCCCTCTTCCCTCTTTCCGTCCCTCCTCCCTTCCTCCTCTGCGGGCCTCCTAGGCAGCACAGTGGGGACTATCCAGCTGGCGGCTACCTGGGGGATGAGATTAGCGCTGGCGTGTGGGCTGTATGTGGGGTTAGAGAGGGTGCTGTTTCCGCTGTACCAGCCGACCAAGCTGGAGGAGCGGCCGCGGAGCAGCCACAGGAAGCTGACTGCTGTGCTGAACCCTGATCTTGGGACCATGGGGCAGAGCAGGTGAGAGTGAGGGGTGTGAGCAAGTTAGGAGAGCGAGTGGGGAAGTAAGAATAGAAGAAGGCCGCGGAGCAGCCACAGGAAGCTGACTGCTGTGCTGCACCCTGATCTTGGGACCATGGGGCAGAGCAGGTGAGAGTGAGGGGTGTGAGCAAGTTAGGAGAGCGAGTGGGGAAGTAAGAATAGAAGAAGGCCGCGGAGCAGCCACAGGAAGCTGACTGCTGTGCTGAACCCTGACCTGGGGACCATGGGGCAGAGCAGGTGAGAGTGAGGGGTGTGAGCAAGTTAGGAGAGCGAGTGGGGAAGTAAGAATAGAAGAAGGCCGAGGAGCAGCCACAGGAAGCTGACTGCTGTGCTGAACCCTGATCTTGGGACCATGGGGCAGAGCAGGTGAGAGTGAGGGGTGTGAGCAAGTTAGGAGAGCGAGTGGGGAAGTAAGAATAGAAGAAGGCCGAGGAGCAGCCACAGGAAGCTGACTGCTGTGCTGAACCCTGACCTGGGGACCATGGGGCAGAGCAGGTGCGATGGGAGAGCAGGTGCGATGGGAGAGCAGGTGCGATGGGAGCGAGTGGATTTTTGAGGCGCCTCAGAAATCAACTCAAGTGCTGTGCGGCTGTGCCAATAGCCTTGGTGTGTTTCGAGTCGACTCAAAACAAACACACAAGGGAGCGAGTGGAGTTTTGAGGCGCCTCAAAAATTGACTCAGAGCAGGTGAGGAGGGAGAGCTGGCGAGGAGGGAGAGCAGGTGAGGAGGGAGAGCAGGTGAGGAGGGAGCGAGTGGCGAAGCGTGGAAGAGATTAAGGGCTGAGGAAGGTTGAGAAGCAGCCACAGGAAGCTCATTGCCGTACTGAATCCTGACCTGGGGATCATGGGTCAGAGCAGGTTAGTAAGGGAGTGAGTGATTGAGCGAGGGAGTGAGGGAGCGAGCGAGGGAGTGAGGGAGCGAGCGAGGGAGTGAGGGAGCGAGTGAGCGGGTGAGCGAGCGAGAGAGTGAACAGGGGAATGAGCATGGGAGTAATCGAGGGAGTAGGAGCCGAGGAAGCTCATTGTTGGGCTGAATCCCGACTTGGGGACCATGGGCTCTGCACCGAATTGCACCACGCCCCACCCCTCTCCACCTCATCTCACCACTCCCCACCCCATTAAACACCCTTTCTCCCCTGCCTCTCCTACATTCAACCTCCAGGGCACGGTATATCTCAGCAGAGGAGAAGACGGGAATCACGTTTGACGATTTTGCCGGGCAGGACTATGTGAAGCGAGAGCTGCAGGAGGTGGTGCGGATTCTCCGGGCAGCCAAAGAATTCGAGGACCTGGGCGTGTACTGCCCGAAGGGCGTGCTTTTGTTCGGCCCGCCCGGAACCGGAAAAACGCTGCTGGCGAAGGCGATAGCTGGGGAGGCTGGGGTGCCGTTCTTTTCGGTTTCTGGCGCTGAGTTTGTGGAGGTGAGTTCGTGGGAGTGGGGGTTTGGGTTTGGAAGGGTAGGGTGTTCGGGAAGGCCATTGCAGGGGAAGCAGAAGTACCGTTTTTCTCTGTTCCTTCCTGGGCGTGCTGAATTTGTGGTGGAGAGCTGATTTTCTCGGCTGAATTTTTGCTGAATTTATGTTTCCCGGCTATCATCCTCATCTCAATTTTTGTTTTTGTCTCCCTCCCTCCTGCTCTCCCATCCACACCTCCCATCCACACCTCCCATCCACCCCTCCCATCCACACCTCCCATCCACACCTCCCATCCACACCTCCCATCCACACCTCCCATCCACCCCTCCCATCCACACCTCCCATCCACACCTCCCATCCACCCCTCCCATCCACCCCTCCCATCCACCCCTCCCATCCACCCCTCCTCATGCAGATGTTCGCAGGGGTTGCAGCCTCAAGAGTGAAGGACCTATTCTTCAGAGCGCGCCAGTTCGCCCCGGCCATCATCTTCATTGATGAGATCGATGCCATCGGGTCCAAGCGAGGCACAGCCAGCGACCAGGGCGGGGTGAGTGGGTGGGGGGGGGGGCGAGTGGGGGAGCGAATGATTCCTGTACCTTGGTTGTTCCCGTTTCATGCCCAACCATCCCCCATGCTCCTGCAGTTATTTCTCTTTCCTCGCTCTTCTGTCTACCTGCTTTGTTGCCCTTCTCTCCCACTTTTGAGAATCCTTGAAAATGATTTCAATATGTTTGTCTCCTGGGTCAACTCGAAAGCCCCTTGTGCTCTGCCCTCCCAAACCCCAACCTCGCCTGTCTGCGTGCTTGTCATATAAACTCAGGGCAACATTGAGCGGGAGCAAGGGCTGATTCAAATTCTCACGGAGCTGGATGGGTTTCAAGAGAATCAGGCCAAGGTGCGTGACTGTAACGAAAGGAAAGGTGATATAAGTGGCAGGTGATGGCAGGGTAAGTGGCACCGAAATAAGAGAAAGGACGGAGGGTGTGGCAGTGGGCAGGCAGACGCTGATTCCGATTCTCACGGAGCTGGACGGGTTTCAATCAAGAGAACCAGGCCAGGCCAAGGTGTGTGACTGTAACGAACGCGTTGGTGGAAAGTGATGGCAGGGAATGTGGCAGCAGCAAAAGAGAAAGGAGGGGACAGTGGGCAGACAGACGCTGATTCAGATCCTCACAGAGCTGGACGGGTTTCAGGAGAACCCAGGCCGAGGTGCATGACTGTAGATAGAGGCGCCGTAATGAGGGAGGGAGGGAGGTGGCACATGGGAGGGGGTGGTAGGGAGCGGGATGGGTTTCAAGAGGTGCGTGACTGTAATGAAAGGAAGTGTGATAAACAGAGGCAGGTGCAATTTAGGAAGGTGGTGGCAGGGGAACCAAGCCAAGGTGGGTGATTGTAATGAGAGAGGTGATTGTAACGAGAGAGGTGATGTAAGAGGGAGGGAGGTGGGAGGATGTGGCATATAACTGGTGATCACTTTTGTTCATCACTCTTCACACCTGTTTCCCCCATAATACCCTCCCCTCCCCTCCCCTCCCCTCCCCTCCCCTCCCCTCTCCTCCCCTCCCCTCCAGGTGCTGGTCATCGGCGCCACCAACCGACTGGACATGTTGGACCCTGCTCTGCTGCGCAAGGGGCGGTTTGACAAGGTGGTGCGGGTGGGACTGCTTGGCCCATCCTGTCGCCCATCCTCCCGCACCCTTTACCCCCGGGTCCTCTTCCTTCTACTCCCCTCCAGGTGCTGGTCATCGGGGCAACTAATCGTCTGGACATGTTGGACCCTGCTCTTCTGCGCAAGGGGCGGTTTGACAAGGTGGTGCGGGTGGGGCTGCCCACAGAGGAGGGGCGATTCTCAGTCCTGAAGGTGCATGCGCGCAACAAGGCGTTCAAGTCGGAAGAGGAGAAGCTAAAGCTCCTGAGGGAGATAGCTGCAGCTACACCCGACTACAGTGGAGCTGAGCTTATGAATATCCTGTGAGTTATTTCGGGAATGTTTTTCATTTATAGCCGCAGCCACAGCTGCTGCTGGACCGGGCTCAAGAATGCTAGTGAGGGAGATAGCTGCAGCTACACCCGACTACAGTGGAGCCGAGCGTATGAATATCCTGTGAGTGTTTAAATGGTTTTATCCTGTAAACCTGCCCTCTCCACCCCATCCCGCCGCTCTCAGCAACGCCATCCCCTGGTAAGGAAACCTTACCCCGTAATGCTCTCTCTTGGCAGTGTACCCAGCTGAATCCCTTTTGAGGCGCCTTATGACTACTTTTGAGGCACCTTATGACTACTTTTGAAAATCACTTTTGAAAATTCTCAAAAGTGATTTCCATACACCTTAAAAGTCTGCTCTCTCTTGGCAGTGTGCCCAGCTGAATCCCCTTGCGTCCTGCCTACACCCATTGCGCTCCCTCCTTCTCCCCTTGCCACCCCTTGTCACCCCTTGCCACCCCTTGCCACCCCTTGCCACCCCTTGCCATCCCTTGTCACCCCTTGCCACCCCTTTTCACCCCCAACGCTTGCCGTCCTTTGCCACCCCGTGCCACTTCTTTGTGCCCTTTCCTACCCTTTCCCGCCCCACCACACCACCCCCAGCAACGAGGCCGCGATCCTAGCGATTCGGAAGGACAAGGATGAGATTGAAAGGGAGGAGCTGCTTCAAGCCATTGACCGGGTGAGTGGGCCTGGAGGGGGGGGGGGCGTTGACCGGGTCAAAGCACAGTCTTCACGGTGCATACCAGGTCAAAGCGTGGTCATCTAGGTGTAGTAGTGGTGGGTAGGGATGAGCAAAATGGCGAACGTGTGTTCGGTTCGCCCGAACATGTTCGGGGGCGAACCGAACCTTTTGCTTTTTTTATTTCTGTTAAAATGTTCGCCCGAACATGTTCGGGTTCGGCCCGAACATGTTCGGGTTCGGCCCGAACATGTTCGGGCGTTCGCGGCGCGCGCATTTGTACATGCCCGAACATCGAACATGTTCGGGCATGTACCGCGTTCTCCCAAACATCTGAGATGTTCGGGAAATTTCCAGTGCGTCATTGGTCGCGCTGGTTGGGTACGTAAGTGACGGAAAAGGTAAATCGAGCTGTTTCACATCTCGATTTACATTTCCTAGGGTTGACCTAGCCTATACGCCACCCCACGTACCTTCCTATACTAAATCGCCCATATCTACCGTTAGTTAGTCACAAATGGGGTGTTAGGATGTGTTTTAGGGTTGTGCCAGCAGGTTTCGTTTAAGTTAAAAAAACGACACGGTGTAGTTGGTGCAACCTTGTAGTTTCAGCGCTTTAGTTCAGTGGAGGACTTCACACGTTTACAAGGTTTTCACCGTTTAACTTAGTTATTTATGGCAACTCCAACGCAAGGAGGTGGAGTTGGGGAGGGGGGCTCATATCCAATAAAATATAAACAGGTTTCCCCCCCCCTGCAGTGGGCGAACCTGAACATGTTCGGGTTCGCCCAAACATCCATGTTGTTCGCCCCCCATTAATAAGTTCGCCAAGAGTGGGCGAACCTCGAACATAAGATTTCAGTAAAAAGGGTTCGGGCGAACCAAACATGTTCGGTTCGCCCACTGAGTGTGTTCGTAACCGTTCGGGCGAACATGTTCGAGGTTCGTCCGGTGCTCATCCCTAGTGGTGGGTGTAACCATCCGCAAGGACAAGGATGAGATTGAAAGGGAGGAGCTGCTGCAGGCTATTGATCGGGTGAGTCAGCCTGGAGGGGGGGGGGGCGTTGACCAGGTCAAAGCACGGTCTTGCAGGTTGTTTTTGAGAATTCTAAAAAACGACTGGGTAAGTCAGCCTGTGGGGGGGGCGTTGACCAGGTCAAAGCACGGTCTCCTAGGTGTATACCAGGTCTAGTCGTATTAGTGATGTTACGTATTTGCAACGACAAGAATGAGATTGGGATGGACGAGCTGCTTCAAGCCATTGACCGGGTGAGTCAGCCTGTCGGAGGGGCCGTTGACCAGGTCAAAGCAGGGTCAAAAGTTGCTTAGCAGTTGAGAGGACAGAAAAGTGATAGGGAAGGAGGTGCTGCTTCAAGCCATTGACCGGGTGAGTGCTTGGGGGGAGCGTTGACCAGGTCAAAGCAGGGTTTCTTGACAAGAATGACAAGAATGACAAGAATGAGTTCGGGAAGGAGGAGCTGCTTCAAGCCATTGACCGGGTGAGTGCTTCAAGCCATTGACCGGGTGAGTGCTTCAAGCCATTGACCGGGTGAGTGCTTCAAGCCATTGACCGGGTGAGTGCTTCAAGCCATTGACCGGGTGAGTGCTTCAAGCCATTGACCGGGTGAGTGCTTCAAGCCATTGACCGGGTGAGTGCTTCAAGCCATTGACCGGGTGAGTGCTTCAAGCCATTGACCGGGTGAGTGCTTCAAGCCATTGACCGGGTGAGTGCTTCAAGCCATTGACCGGGTGAGTGCTTCAAGCCATTGACCGGGTGAGTGCTTCAAGCCATTGACCGGGTGAGTGCTTCAAGCCATTGACCGGGTGAGTGCTTCAAGCCATTGACCGGGTGAGTGCTTCAAGCCATTGACCGGGTGAGTGCTTCAAGCCATTGACCGGGTGAGTGCTTCAAGCCATTGACCGGGTGAGTGCTTCAAGCCATTGACCGGGTGAGTGCTTCAAGCCATTGACCGGGTGAGTGCTTGGGGGTATGCAGGTGGCTTACCGAGTGAGGTCTAGTTTTGAGGCGCCTCAAAACTTGACTTACTGCCTGAGGCTTATTCCAAACCCCCCTACCTGCTTCGTGCGCTCCTTATGTTTCCTGATACCCATGCAGCAAGCCGGCGAGTTCAAGACGGGGGAGGAGGACGTGTTGGACAGCCGGGAGGTGCGCATGCGGGTGGCTTACCGCAAACTTATTCCTCTAAACCCCCCGCCCGCCTTATGTTCTCCCACGCCCCCATCGTGGTACTGTTCCTTCCAGCAAGCAGGCGAGTTCAAGACGGGCGAGGAGGACGTGTTGGACAGCAGGGAGGTGCGCATGCGGGTGGCTTACCGCGAGGCTTATTCCTCTAAACCCCCCGCCCGCCTTATGTTCTCCCACGCCCCCATCGTGGTACTGTTCCTTCCAGCAAGCAGGCGAGTTCAAGACGGGAGAGGAGGACGTGTTGGACAGCAGGGAGGTGCGCATGCGGGTGGCTTACCGCGAGGCTTATTCCTCTAAACCCCCCGCCCGCCTTATGTTCTCCCACGCCCCCATCGTGGTACTGTTCCTTCCAGCAAGCAGGCGAGTTCAAGACGGGAGAGGAGGACGTGTTGGACAGCAGGGAGGTGCGCATGCGAGCTGCTTACCGTGAGGCCTCCATCGCTGTGCTTGAGTGTGCCCTGCCGGACAGATCAGGGCCCATCAAGAGGGTGAGCGTCTGGGGTGTTCCGGTTGTCTATGCCTATGTTGTGTGCATGTGTTGGCAAGCTCAAAAGTGTGCAAGTGTTGGCAAGCTCGGGTGCCTGTGCTGTGTTTACCGTGAAGCGTGCATCGCCGTTCTCGAGTGCGCCCTGCCAGATGACTTTCGAGTCGACTCAAAAGTCACCTCGTTTCGAGTCGACTCAAAAGTCACCTCGTTTCGAGTCGACTCAAAAGTCACCTCGTTTCGAGTCGACTCAAAAGTCACCTCGTTTCGAGTCGACTCAAAAGTCACCTCGTTTCGAGTCGACTCAAAAGTCACCTCGTTTCGAGTCGACTCAAAAGTCACCTCGTTTCGAGTCGACTCAAAAGTCACCTCGTTTCGAGTCGACTCAAAAGTCACCTCGTTTCGAGTCGACTCAAAAGTCACCTCGTTTCGAGTCGACTCAAAAGTCACCTCGTTTCGAGTCGACTCAAAAGTCACCTCGTTTCGAGTCGACTCAAAAGTCACCTCGTTTCGAGTCGACTCAAAAGTCACCTCGTTTCGAGTCGACTCAAAAGTCACCTCGTTTCGAGTCGACTCAAAAGTCACCTCGTTTCGAGTCGACTCAAAAGTCACCTCGTTTCGAGTCGACTCAAAAGTCACCTCGTTTCGAGTCGACTCAAAAGTCACCTCGTTTCGAGTCGACTCAAAAGTCACCTCGTTTCGAGTCGACTCAAAAGTCACCTCGTTTCGAGTCGACTCAAAAGTCACCTCGTTTCGAGTCGACTCAAAAGTCACCTCGTTTCGAGTCGACTCAAAAGTCACCTCGTTTCGAGTCGACTCAAAAGTCACCTCGTTTCGAGTCGACTCAAAAGTCACCTCGTTTCGAGTCGACTCAAAAGTCACCTCGTTTCGAGTCGACTCAAAAGTCACCTCGTTTCGAGTCGACTCAAAAGTCACCTCGTTTCGAGTCGACTCAAAAGTCACCTCGTTTCGAGTCGACTCAAAAGTCACCTCGTTTCGAGTCGACTCAAAAGTCACCTCGTTTCGAGTCGACTCAAAAGTCACCTCGTTTCGAGTCGACTCAAAAGTCACCTCGTTTCGAGTCGACTCAAAAGTCACCTCGTTTCGAGTCGACTCAAAAGTCACCTCGTTTCGAGTCGACTCAAAAGTCACCTCGTTTCGAGTCGACTCAAAAGTCACCTCGTTTCGAGTCGACTCAAAAGTCACCTCGTTTCGAGTCGACTCAAAAGTCACCTCGTTTCGAGTCGACTCAAAAGTCACCTCGTTTCGAGTCGACTCAAAAGTCACCTCGTTTCGAGTCGACTCAAAAGTCACCTCGTTTCGAGTCGACTCAAAAGTCACCTCGTTTCGAGTCGACTCAAAAGTCACCTCGTTTCGAGTCGACTCAAAAGTCACCTCGTTTCGAGTCGACTCAAAAGTCACCTCGTTTCGAGTCGACTCAAAAGTCACCTCGTTTCGAGTCGACTCAAAAGTCACCTCGTTTCGAGTCGACTCAAAAGTCACCTCGTTTCGAGTCGACTCAAAAGTCACCTCGTTTCGAGTCGACTCAAAAGTCACCTCGTTTCGAGTCGACTCAAAAGTCACCTCGTTTCGAGTCGACTCAAAAGTCACCTCGTTTCGAGTCGACTCAAAAGTCACCTCGTTTCGAGTCGACTCAAAAGTCACCTCGTTTCGAGTCGACTCAAAAGTCACCTCGTTTCGAGTCGACTCAAAAGTCACCTCGTTTCGAGTCGACTCAAAAGTCACCTCGTTTCGAGTCGACTCAAAAGTCACCTCGTTTCGAGTCGACTCAAAAGTCACCTCGTTTCGAGTCGACTCAAAAGTCACCTCGTTTCGAGTCGACTCAAAAGTCACCTCGTTTCGAGTCGACTCAAAAGTCACCTCGTTTCGAGTCGACTCAAAAGTCACCTCGTTTCGAGTCGACTCAAAAGTCACCTCGTTTCGAGTCGACTCAAAAGTCACCTCGTTTCGAGTCGACTCAAAAGTCACCTCGTTTCGAGTCGACTCAAAAGTCACCTCGTTTCGAGTCGACTCAAAAGTCACCTCGTTTCGAGTCGACTCAAAAGTCACCTCGTTTCGAGTCGACTCAAAAGTCACCTCGTTTCGAGTCGACTCAAAAGTCACCTCGTTTCGAGTCGACTCAAAAGTCACCTCGTTTCGAGTCGACTCAAAAGTCACCTCGTTTCGAGTCGACTCAAAAGTCACCTCGTTTCGAGTCGACTCAAAAGTCACCTCGTTTCGAGTCGACTCAAAAGTCACCTCGTTTCGAGTCGACTCAAAAGTCACCTCGTTTCGAGTCGACTCAAAAGTCACCTCGTTTCGAGTCGACTCAAAAGTCACCTCGTTTCGAGTCGACTCAAAAGTCACCTCGTTTCGAGTCGACTCAAAAGTCACCTCGTTTCGAGTCGACTCAAAAGTCACCTCGTTTCGAGTCGACTCAAAAGTCACCTCGTTTCGAGTCGACTCAAAAGTCACCTCGTTTCGAGTCGACTCAAAAGTCACCTCGTTTCGAGTCGACTCAAAAGTCACCTCGTTTCGAGTCGACTCAAAAGTCACCTCGTTTCGAGTCGACTCAAAAGTCACCTCGTTTCGAGTCGACTCAAAAGTCACCTCGTTTCGAGTCGACTCAAAAGTCACCTCGTTTCGAGTCGACTCAAAAGTCACCTCGTTTCGAGTCGACTCAAAAGTCACCTCGTTTCGAGTCGACTCAAAAGTCACCTCGTTTCGAGTCGACTCAAAAGTCACCTCGTTTCGAGTCGACTCAAAAGTCACCTCGTTTCGAGTCGACTCAAAAGTCACCTCGTTTCGAGTCGACTCAAAAGTCACCTCGTTTCGAGTCGACTCAAAAGTCACCTCGTTTCGAGTCGACTCAAAAGTCACCTCGTTTCGAGTCGACTCAAAAGTCACCTCGTTTCGAGTCGACTCAAAAGTCACCTCGTTTCGAGTCGACTCAAAAGTCACCTCGTTTCGAGTCGACTCAAAAGTCACCTCGTTTCGAGTCGACTCAAAAGTCACCTCGTTTCGAGTCGACTCAAAAGTCACCTCGTTTCGAGTCGACTCAAAAGTCACCTCGTTTCGAGTCGACTCAAAAGTCACCTCGTTTCGAGTCGACTCAAAAGTCACCTCGTTTCGAGTCGACTCAAAAGTCACCTCGTTTCGAGTCGACTCAAAAGTCACCTCGTTTCGAGTCGACTCAAAAGTCACCTCGTTTCGAGTCGACTCAAAAGTCACCTCGTTTCGAGTCGACTCAAAAGTCACCTCGTTTCGAGTCGACTCAAAAGTCACCTCGTTTCGAGTCGACTCAAAAGTCACCTCGTTTCGAGTCGACTCAAAAGTCACCTCGTTTCGAGTCGACTCAAAAGTCACCTCGTTTCGAGTCGACTCAAAAGTCACCTCGTTTCGAGTCGACTCAAAAGTCACCTCGTTTCGAGTCGACTCAAAAGTCACCTCGTTTCGAGTCGACTCAAAAGTCACCTCGTTTCGAGTCGACTCAAAAGTCACCTCGTTTCGAGTCGACTCAAAAGTCACCTCGTTTCGAGTCGACTCAAAAGTCACCTCGTTTCGAGTCGACTCAAAAGTCACCTCGTTTCGAGTCGACTCAAAAGTCACCTCGTTTCGAGTCGACTCAAAAGTCACCTCGTTTCGAGTCGACTCAAAAGTCACCTCGTTTCGAGTCGACTCAAAAGTCACCTCGTTTCGAGTCGACTCAAAAGTCACCTCGTTTCGAGTCGACTCAAAAGTCACCTCGTTTCGAGTCGACTCAAAAGTCACCTCGTTTCGAGTCGACTCAAAAGTCACCTCGTTTCGAGTCGACTCAAAAGTCACCTCGTTTCGAGTCGACTCAAAAGTCACCTCGTTTCGAGTCGACTCAAAAGTCACCTCGTTTCGAGTCGACTCAAAAGTCACCTCGTTTCGAGTCGACTCAAAAGTCACCTCGTTTCGAGTCGACTCAAAAGTCACCTCGTTTCGAGTCGACTCAAAAGTCACCTCGTTTCGAGTCGACTCAAAAGTCACCTCGTTTCGAGTCGACTCAAAAGTCACCTCGTTTCGAGTCGACTCAAAAGTCACCTCGTTTCGAGTCGACTCAAAAGTCACCTCGTTTCGAGTCGACTCAAAAGTCACCTCGTTTCGAGTCGACTCAAAAGTCACCTCGTTTCGAGTCGACTCAAAAGTCACCTCGTTTCGAGTCGACTCAAAAGTCACCTCGTTTCGAGTCGACTCAAAAGTCACCTCGTTTCGAGTCGACTCAAAAGTCACCTCGTTTCGAGTCGACTCAAAAGTCACCTCGTTTCGAGTCGACTCAAAAGTCACCTCGTTTCGAGTCGACTCAAAAGTCACCTCGTTTCGAGTCGACTCAAAAGTCACCTCGTTTCGAGTCGACTCAAAAGTCACCTCGTTTCGAGTCGACTCAAAAGTCACCTCGTTTCGAGTCGACTCAAAAGTCACCTCGTTTCGAGTCGACTCAAAAGTCACCTCGTTTCGAGTCGACTCAAAAGTCACCTCGTTTCGAGTCGACTCAAAAGTCACCTCGTTTCGAGTCGACTCAAAAGTCACCTCGTTTCGAGTCGACTCAAAAGTCACCTCGTTTCGAGTCGACTCAAAAGTCACCTCGTTTCGAGTCGACTCAAAAGTCACCTCGTTTCGAGTCGACTCAAAAGTCACCTCGTTTCGAGTCGACTCAAAAGTCACCTCGTTTCGAGTCGACTCAAAAGTCACCTCGTTTCGAGTCGACTCAAAAGTCACCTCGTTTCGAGTCGACTCAAAAGTCACCTCGTTTCGAGTCGACTCAAAAGTCACCTCGTTTCGAGTCGACTCAAAAGTCACCTCGTTTCGAGTCGACTCAAAAGTCACCTCGTTTCGAGTCGACTCAAAAGTCACCTCGTTTCGAGTCGACTCAAAAGTCACCTCGTTTCGAGTCGACTCAAAAGTCACCTCGTTTCGAGTCGACTCAAAAGTCACCTCGTTTCGAGTCGACTCAAAAGTCACCTCGTTTCGAGTCGACTCAAAAGTCACCTCGTTTCGAGTCGACTCAAAAGTCACCTCGTTTCGAGTCGACTCAAAAGTCACCTCGTTTCGAGTCGACTCAAAAGTCACCTCGTTTCGAGTCGACTCAAAAGTCACCTCGTTTCGAGTCGACTCAAAAGTCACCTCGTTTCGAGTCGACTCAAAAGTCACCTCGTTTCGAGTCGACTCAAAAGTCACCTCGTTTCGAGTCGACTCAAAAGTCACCTCGTTTCGAGTCGACTCAAAAGTCACCTCGTTTCGAGTCGACTCAAAAGTCACCTCGTTTCGAGTCGACTCAAAAGTCACCTCGTTTCGAGTCGACTCAAAAGTCACCTCGTTTCGAGTCGACTCAAAAGTCACCTCGTTTCGAGTCGACTCAAAAGTCACCTCGTTTCGAGTCGACTCAAAAGTCACCTCGTTTCGAGTCGACTCAAAAGTCACCTCGTTTCGAGTCGACTCAAAAGTCACCTCGTTTCGAGTCGACTCAAAAGTCACCTCGTTTCGAGTCGACTCAAAAGTCACCTCGTTTCGAGTCGACTCAAAAGTCACCTCGTTTCGAGTCGACTCAAAAGTCACCTCGTTTCGAGTCGACTCAAAAGTCACCTCGTTTCGAGTCGACTCAAAAGTCACCTCGTTTCGAGTCGACTCAAAAGTCACCTCGTTTCGAGTCGACTCAAAAGTCACCTCGTTTCGAGTCGACTCAAAAGTCACCTCGTTTCGAGTCGACTCAAAAGTCACCTCGTTTCGAGTCGACTCAAAAGTCACCTCGTTTCGAGTCGACTCAAAAGTCACCTCGTTTCGAGTCGACTCAAAAGTCACCTCGTTTCGAGTCGACTCAAAAGTCACCTCGTTTCGAGTCGACTCAAAAGTCACCTCGTTTCGAGTCGACTCAAAAGTCACCTCGTTTCGAGTCGACTCAAAAGTCACCTCGTTTCGAGTCGACTCAAAAGTCACCTCGTTTCGAGTCGACTCAAAAGTCACCTCGTTTCGAGTCGACTCAAAAGTCACCTCGTTTCGAGTCGACTCAAAAGTCACCTCGTTTCGAGTCGACTCAAAAGTCACCTCGTTTCGAGTCGACTCAAAAGTCACCTCGTTTCGAGTCGACTCAAAAGTCACCTCGTTTCGAGTCGACTCAAAAGTCACCTCGTTTCGAGTCGACTCAAAAGTCACCTCGTTTCGAGTCGACTCAAAAGTCACCTCGTTTCGAGTCGACTCAAAAGTCACCTCGTTTCGAGTCGACTCAAAAGTCACCTCGTTTCGAGTCGACTCAAAAGTCACCTCGTTTCGAGTCGACTCAAAAGTCACCTCGTTTCGAGTCGACTCAAAAGTCACCTCGTTTCGAGTCGACTCAAAAGTCACCTCGTTTCGAGTCGACTCAAAAGTCACCTCGTTTCGAGTCGACTCAAAAGTTACCGTGAAGCGTGCATCGCCGTTCTCGAGTGTGCCCTGCCAGATAGATCAGGGCCGATCAGATCGAGAGGGTAAGTGTGTGCTTGCCTGGTTCTTTTAGTGCGTTCTGGTTGTCAGTGCTGTGCCTTTTGGTGGATGTGTGTGTTTCTCTTGGGCTTACCGTGTGAAGCTCCCATCGCTGTGCTGTGCTCGAGTGCGCCCTGCCAGATAGATCAGGGCCGATCGAGAGGGTAAGTGTGTGCTTGCCTGGTTCTTTTAGTGCGTTCTGGTTGCCTGTGCTGTGCCTATGGTGTATGCGCGCGCGCGTGTGTGTGTGTGTGGATGCCTCTGTTGTGCTTACCATGAGGCCTCCACTGCCGTGCCTCTGTGAGTGCTTACCTTGATGCTGCCTACAAGGGAAACACCAACTAAATCTGAGTCGTTTACTTTTGAGAATTCTCAAAAGTGAGTGCTTACCTTGATGCCTACAAGGGAAACAACAGCCGAGCCGACGGAACAATAGACATCTCTTGACAATGTGGATCCTCTTCCCAACCTGGAGCACTAGAGGGTGCACCACCGCTGCTCACCAGACACCATTCAGCGTCGTCTCTTCCTGCTTCCTTGTCCCCACGCTTCACATGTCTATCTCTGCTTCTTATGTACCCCCATCCCCTTTCATCAGACCTCTCTAGACAATGTTGATCCCCTCCCCACCTGGAGCACGAGAGGGTGCTCCGCCAGTCATCTCACTCAACCCCCTTTCCTCTTTGAATGCACCCTCTTTCCCTACCACGCACCCCAACCCCTCCAGACGTCTCTTGACAACGTTGACCCTCTCCCCAACCTGGAGCACGAGAGGGTGCGCCACCGCTGCTCCATCCACCAACAACCCCCCCGTATTCCCACCTTCCACTCCCTTTTCCCCCACCACATCCCCTCCAATTCCCCTTCTAACAGACGTCTCTTGACAACGTTGACCCTCTCCCCAACCTGGAGCACGAGAGGGTGCGTCACCGCTGCTTTGCAGTCAAGCAGGACATGACCCCGTCTCCTATTCCCACCTTGTCCCCCCTTGGCCCCTGCTCGTCCCTCTTCCATCCCCCTTAACAGACCTCGCTAGACAATGTGGATCCTCTCCCCAACCTGGAGCACGAGAGGGTGCGTCACCGCTGCTTTGCCGTCAAGCAAGGCATGAACCCCCTTCTCTATTCCCGCCTTGTCCCCGCCTTCCCTGCCCACCAGACGTCTCTTGACAATGTGGATCCTCTCCCCAACCTGGAGCACGAGAGGGTGCGTCACCGCTGCTTTGCCGTCAAGCAGGACATGCTGGACGCTATCGTGCGCGCCTTTGCACGTGAGTAATGTGGTTCAGTGCGGTTTGGGGGATTCGAGTGCGGTTGGAGTTGCTTCAGTGCGGTTTGGAGCGTTACGATGCAGTTTGAGGCGTTTTACCTGGATAAGAGAGTGTCCGCTCGCTCCAACCGCTGCTTTGCAGTCAAGCAGGACATGCTGGACGCTATCGTACGCGCCTTTGCACGTGAGTAGTGTGGTTCAGTGCGGTTTGAGAGGCTCTAGTTTGGCTCGAAACATTGCAGTGCGGTTTGGGGCGATCCGCATGGGCATGAGCACGTGTTCTCGTGCCACCGCAGCTTTGCAGCCATGCACTACATGTTGGGTGCTATTATGGTCGCCTTTGCATGTGAGTAAGAGGGGGTGCAAAGCGGTTTGGGGAGGTCTTCTGTGGTCTGGGTCATGTCAGTGCAGGACCTTTCTCCAGACGTCCTTAGTCCGCCTCTCCCCCCTCCCCCCTCTCCGCCTCTCCTCACAAACATCTGCCATAGTGGCTACATTGAAATCACTTTTGAGAATTCTCAAAAGTGATTCCACTCGCCCCTCCCCCCTCTCCGCCTCTCCTCACAAACATCTGCCATAGTGGCTACATTGAAATCACTTTTGAGAATTCTCAAAAGTGATTCCACTCGCCCCTCCCCCCTCTCCGCCTCTCCTCACAAACATCTGCCATAGTGGCTACATTGAAATCACTTTTGAGATTGAGAATTCTCAAAAGTGATTCCACTCGCCCCTCCCCCCTCTCCGCCTCTCCTCACCAACATCTGCCATAGTGGCTACATTGAAATCACTTTTGAGAATTCTCAAAAGTGATTCCACTCGCCCCTCCCCCCTCTCCGCCTCTCCTCACAAACATCTGCCATAGTGGCTACATTGAAATCACTTTTGAGAATTCTCAAAAGTGATTCCACTCGCCCCTCCCCCCTCTCCGCCTCTCCTCACAAACATCTGCCATAGTGGCTACATTGAAATCACTTTTGAGATTGAGAATTCTCAAAAGTGATTCCACTCGCCCCTCCCCCCTCTCCGCCTCTCCTCACCAACATCTGCCATAGTGGCTACATTGAAATCACTTTTGAGAATTCTCAAAAGTGATTCCACTCGCCCCTCCCCCCTCTCCGCCTCTCCTCACCAACATCTGCCATAGTGGCTACATTGAAATCACTTTTGAGAATTCTCAAAAGTGATTCCACTCGCCCCTCCCCCCTCTCCGCCTCTCCTCACAAACATCTGCCATAGTGGCTACATTGAAATCACTTTTGAGAATTCTCAAAAGTGATTCCACTCGCCCCTCCCCCCTCTCCGCCTCTCCTCACAAACATCTGCCATAGTGGCTACATTGAAATCACTTTTGAGAATTCTCAAAAGTGATTCCACTCGCCCCTCCCCCCTCTCCGCCTCTCCTCACCAACATCTGCCATAGTGGCTACATTGAAATCACTTTTGAGAATTCTCAAAAGTGATTCCACTCGCCCCTCCCCCCTCTCCGCCTCTCCTCACAAACATCTGCCATAGTGGCTACATTGAAATCACTTTTGAGAATTCTCAAAAGTGATTCCACTCGCCCCTCCCCCCTCTCCGCCTCTCCTCACAAACATCTGCCATAGTGGCTACATTGAAATCACTTTTGAGAATTCTCAAAAGTGATTCCACTCGCCCCTCCCCCCTCTCCGCCTCTCCTCACCAACATCTGCCATAGTGGCTACATTGAAATCACTTTTGAGAATTCTCAAAAGTGATTCCACTCGCCCCTCCCCCCTCTCCGCCTCTCCTCACCAACATCTGCCATAGTGGACCGCAAGGTGTTTTTCTGGAAAAAAAAAAAAAAAAAAAAAAAAAAAACTACAAACTATTTCTGATCCCTGACCTTTCCCTGCTCCTTTCATCCCCCTAACCACCCCCCATCATGGAGTGTACAGAGAGGCGGTGCAACTGGCAGGCAGACTATGTGATCCTGAGGACCGTCTTCCCGAGAACCTTGCGGCTGTCTCACTGAGTCTCTTGCCTCACTTTTCACACATGAATTGGTGTTACTTTTGAGAATTCTCAAAAGTAAAATTCACGTAGCTGTCTCACTGAGTCTCTTGCCTCACTCTTCACACCCCTACCCCTACAACCAGCTGCCATATTGGAGCGCATGGTGTTTGGAGTGGCCGGCGAACGTGAGCTGGCAGGCAGGAGTGGCCTACAGAGAGGCGGCTCAGTTAGCAGACTATGTGATCGTGAGGAGCTGTTGTGACCCTCCACATGCTGCGTGTCCTTCCTAACAGCCGCCATAATGGAGCGCATGGTGTTTGGAGTGGCCGGCGAACGTGAGCTGACAAGCAGGAGTGGCCTACAGAGAGGCGGCTCAGTTAGCAGGCTATGTGATCGTGAGGAGCTGTTGTGACCCTCCACATGCTGCTCTCTCCTTTCACCCACATGCTGCGTGTCCTTCCTAACAGCCGCCATAATGGAGAGGATGGTGTTCGGTGCGGCGAACGTGAGCTGGCAGGCAGGAGTGGCCTACAGAGAGGCGGTGCAACTGGCAGACTATGTGATTCTCAGGAGTGGCATGAGCGCCCTGGGGAAGGTGGTGTACGAGACTCAGAAGGACCTCATGCCTCATGTGAGTGTGCTTAATTTTGTAGGATATATACTTAAAATTATGGCTAAAATTTCATCTGGATATATGTGTATATATTAGTAGCATGTACATAGTGGTGTATGTGATTCTGAGGAGCGGCATGAGCGCCCTGGGGAAGGTGGTTTACTTTTGAGAATTCTCAAGAGTGATTCCCAAAGACACAGAAGGACCTCATGAGTGCACTGAGGAGGAGCGGCATGAGCGCGCTGGGGAAGGTGGTTTACGAGACACACAAGGACCTGATGCCGCATGTGAGTGTAAATACATGGTGCATGGGAGGGAGGGGGAGGCGGTGTGTGTATGGGGCGCTGTGGGCAGCATGAGTGCACTGAGGAGGAGTGGCATGAGCGTGCTAGGGAAGGTGGTTTACGAGACGCACAAGGACCTGATGCCGCACGTGATTGTACACCACATTACTGGATATATTTACTATGTATTTGTATGTAATAAATATTTATTATTAACAGCACATATGCCATGGTGTACGTGATTCTGAGGAACGGCACGATAAGTGAGTGCATATAAGTGTTACTAGGTGAAGTAAATGATAACTAGTTAAAGTCGAACTGAAAAACCTATACCTATAAGATATGTTAGTGTTATTATTACTGCTACAAGATGTTATTTCTCAAGTTTATAGGTGCAAGCAAGCACTCACAAACAAGCACTCGTCCTTCCGTTTTTCCTCTCCTTTCCTCTTCTCTCGTCCCTCCCATACAGCTCATTCCCAAAGTCATCGCTCTAAGGGAGGAGTACATGCGCTACTCCAAGGCGAAATGCGAGGCTGTTCTGAAAGAGTACAGATCGGCTGTAGACACCATTGCAGGTAAGAGCAACAAACACCCCCCCCTCCCATCAACCAACCCCACTTCGCCTCCCCCAACAACCGCCTCCCCCTCCCATAAGATCGGCCTGTTCCACCCTTCTTGCCTTGCCCTCCTCTCGCCTGCCTCTCTTCCAACCGCGTGATAAAAGAGTTGTTTTGAGACGTCTCAAAACAACCAACCCCACTTCGCCTCCCCCAACTAGCATCTTCTCTGCTGTTCCACCCTTCTTGCCCTCCTCTCGCCTGCCTCTCTTCCCAACCGCGTGATAAAAGAGTTGTTTTGAGACGTCTCAAAACTCCTCTCGCCTGCCTCTCTTCCAACCCCACTCACACATCAACCGCTAACCACCCTGTAACCACACATTTCCCCCTCAACCGCACAACACCCCTTTGAACCCCCTCAGAGCGTTTGTTGGAGGAGGGCGAGGTGACAGGAGACGCCATTCACAGCATCTTTAATGCTGCTCCCAAGTTCCCCCAGGTATGTGTGTGTGCGCGTGCGCGCTTGCGTCTGTGTGTGCATGTGCGTGTCGTCGTGTTCGTGCGATTTGCAAGAAAACAAAAGGCCGGGTGCAGGAAAAAGCGCAACAGTCTAAAGCAACGAAATATTATTGGTTTTTGAGTCCGGATGTTAGCTGAATTCTGAGTCGACTACAAAAACGTTTCATCAAACGTGGGTCAGCGCGCAGGTGCGCGTGGAGCATGATGGATAGATGAATATGCAGGTGCTGTTAGTAGCAAACAGGTGGGCTGCGGAGATCTTGTTTCCATCAACTTAAGTGGTTCTAGGACGACGAAACAAACTCTATGAAATGAAAGAATGAAGAGCTTGGTTGACTTGCGTGCTAGAGCGTATTAGGGCGTATTCCTGGCTTCATGTCATCCGGTGTTGGTGTCATCCCGATTTTTTTTCTCGAGCCGCGGGTTTCCCGACTCGAGCTTCGGGTTTTCCGACTCGGAAAGTGACGAGCTTTAGCGAACTTGACTGACGAAATAAGATTTTGCCCCAGTTTTTTTTTCGCGGGCCTGCAATGCGAAATTTCCAAGCCTGCGGAAAATTTCACATGCAATCTGCTGTGCAATATTGCACATTGTCGGGTGCTTGAATCGCAATCGATCGCCAGTTTGCGCTGGCGATTTCAACTAGCCAAAAAGAGAGCTACGATTTCAGGTAGCCAGCTAAATTTCTGTCTAATTTTTTTGTGAACAGTTTTTGCTTGTTGACCCGAGGTGGAATATTCCAGCTGGTGTCTTCCCACAATGTCGGATGACATTTTCACCGGAAGACACGAAGCCAGGAATACGCCCTTAGAGAGCCAGATTGAACAGTCGGCAGCTTAAAATCAGCACGTGGGTCAGCGTGCAGGTGAGCGTGAAGCATGATGGATAGATGAATATAGAGGTGCGTTTGCAGTGCCAGTCCACGAGGGCAGACGGGGCATTCACCCATTCCCCCTTCCATTCACCCATCACCACACTCCACCCCACCCTACACTCCCCTTCCCCCGCACTCTCCTCAGAACAGCCCCCTGTGCGGCCGATTAGGCGAGTATGCAGTTCTAGTCCACCAGGGCATTCACGGCGCCTCCCTCCCCGGGCGAGCCACCTTCCACCCGGGCAACTCCGGCTACGCCACCTTTGTGGCTCATTCTTCCCTCCCTTCTCCTTCCGTTCCCCCGTCCCTTGTGCTTTGGGGGACACCCATCCCCTCCCACCCCCTCTCCCCCCAAATAACAGCCCCCAGTGCGGCCGATAGACGAGTACGCAGTGCTGGTCCACCAGGGCAGGTGGGGCATTCACGGGGCCTCCCTCCCCGGCCGAGCCACCTTCCACCCCGGCAACTCCGGCTACGCCACCTTTGGAGCGCCGCGGCCGCAGCAGGTGCAGGCAGTGAGCGACGAGACGTGGCGGGTGGTGGAGGGCATCTGGAGGGAGCGAATTGCAGAGCTGCGGCAGATGGACGAGGAGGACGAGGAGGAGAGAGAGCAGCAGCTGCTGCTTCCTGACTTGGTGCTGTAAAAGGAGCCAACCAACGCAGCAGCGAGACGTGGCGGGTGGTGGAGGGCATGTGGAGGGAGCGGATTGCAGAGCTGAGGCAGATGGATGAGGAGGACGAGGAGGAGCGCGAGCAGCAGCTGCTGCTGCCTGACCTGGTGCTTTAAAAGGGGATTTGTGGTGGTGTCTGTGCCTTTACCAGGAAGGGCGGGTGGTGGAGGGCATCTGGAGGGAGCGGATTGCAGAGCTGAGGCAGATGGACGAGGAGGACGAGGAGGAGCGGGAGCAGCAGCTGCTGCTGCCTGACCTGGTGCTTTAAAAGGGGATTTGTGGTGGTGTCTGTGCCTTTACCAGGAAGGGCGGGTGGTGGAGGGCATCTGGAGGGAGCGGATTGCAGAGCCGAGGCAGATGGACGAGGAGGACGAGGAGGAGCGGGAGCAGCAGCTGCTGCTGCCTGACCTGGTGCTTTAAAAGGGGATTTGTGGTGGTGTCTGTGCCTTTACCAGGAAGGGCGGGTGGTGGAGGGCATCTGGAGGGAGCGGATTGCAGAGCTGAGGCAGATGGACGAGGAGGACGAGGAGGAGCGGGAGCAGCAGCTGCTGCTGCCTGACCTGGTGCTTTAAAAGGGGATTTGTGGTGGTGTCTGTGCCTTTACCAGGAAGGGCGGGTGGTGGAGGGCATCTGGAGGGAGCGGATTGCAGAGCCGAGGCAGATGGACGAGGAGGACGAGGAGGAGCGGGAGCAGCAGCTGCTGCTGCCTGACCTGGTGCTTTAAAAGGGGATTTGTGGTGGTGTCTGTGCCTTTACCAGGAAGGGCGGGTGGTTGAGGGCATCTGGAGGGAGCGGATTGCAGAGCTGAGGCAGATGGACGAGGAGGACGAGGAGGAGCGGGAGCAGCAGCTGCTGCTGCCTGACCTGGTGCTTTAAAAGGGGATTTGTGGTGGTGTCTGTGCCTTTACCAGGAAGGGGGGAGGGTGGTGGAGGGCATCTGGAGGGAGCGGATTGCAGAGCTGAGGCAGATGGGTGAGGAGGACGAGGAGGAGAGAGAGCAGCAGCTGCTGCTGCCTGATCTGGTGCTGTAAAAGGGTGTGTGGTAGTGTCTGTGCCTTTACCAGGAAGGGCGGGTGGTGGAGGGCATCTGGAGGGAGCGGATTGCAGAGCTGCGGCAGATGGACGAGGAGGATGAGGAGGAGCGCGAGCAGCAGCTGTTGCTGCCTGACTTGGTGCTCTAGATGGTTGTGGCTGTGGGTTGTAGAGGGGCCTCTGGGTGCAGGCTGTGAGCGACGAGACGTGGCGGGTGCAGGCCTGTCGATTCAAGGGCATATGCCCTTAATGCCCTGAACATTAAGGGCTAGTTTCGCTCCAGCTCCAATGCGTCAAGTTTTAGATTCGCATTCCACCCGTGCCACTAAGTGCTTCGTTCGACCCTTCCCCGGATGCGTTAAGGGACGAAACCAGGCCTTCCCCTTTATCTAAGTTTTGGTTTCCGATCGTAGGACCCCCCCCCCCCCCGGCTGCCAGAGACCCCCCTCCCCCTTCTTTCTCCTTAGCCTGCACGAGAGCGCGCAAAGTGGATTTTTCCCTTAGCGTTTTCTAGCCAATCTCGTGTGTGTAGTGTGTCTCAGTCAGCCTTGGAGCACCCGAACTTCCCTTAGGGCGCGCGTGATCTTTAAAAAATTGTCTAAGTTCGAAACTCAAACCGCTTCGCACCGTGACGAAAAATCTCTTATTTGTATCCTACCGTGTCGAACCTTTCTAAAAACTCGAATTTTGGGAAGTTCTAAAAAATATCACACGCGCCCTTAGTGTCCAATACATGCCCGGATTTCAAGTTTTCACTTTGGGGTGCGCCCGTGACCGTTAAGGGCGCCAAAACGCTCACCTACACCCAACCAAGGGTCAGATGGGGAGGAGCTGGGGAGCGCAAGTACGAGCCCCAGAAACTTCGACAGGCCTGGGCGGGTGGTGGAGGGCATCTGGAGGGAGCGGATTGCAGAGCTGAGGCAGATGGACGAGGAGATGAGGAGGAGCGCGAGCAGCATCTGCTGCTGCCTGATCTAGTGCTCTAGGAGGAGTTTTGTTGTTTGTGGTAATGGGGTTCAAAAGGAGGTTCGAAGGGGTTTAGGGCGTGACTGGCAGTGGGAGGGAGGGGGAGTGGTGGCACATGGCAAGTTGACAGGAAGAGGCAGCAGTAGCATTTCAAGGGCTGGCATGTCAAATGTTGTAGCCTATAGTGAGGTTTGTCTTAGGGGGTACAAAACTTAGGGTTAGCTATATGTACCCCAACCAACATCAATGCATCATCCATTCTTCATTCTGACATGGTATCAGTTAGGTTAGGATCCTGTGGGATCCCGTTCCGCCGTTCTCCGTTCGTACCACCCGAGCCTGATCCTAGCTCTCGTTCGTCTCCTTCTCGTTGTTACCGAGCCTAGCGCCGAGCCACGCTCTCGTTCGTATCGTTCCAGCTGTTACCGCCCCCCCCGTCGCGTCTCCTTCCTCCTCCCCCTCTCCTCCCGTCTCTGGTCCTCCGCTTCCTCCTCCTGACCCCTCTCCCGCTGTTTTCCCTCGTTCTCAGTCTTCGTTGTCTCCTCCTCCTTCTCAGACTTGGGCCTCTCGTCGCTCCCCTCGTGCTCGTCCCTCGTCTCCTGTTCCCTTCACTGACCTTCGTACTGCCTTACTTCGTTCTAGTCCACCTCGTCCGTCTCCGTCTGTGCTTCCGTCTCCTCCTGAGTCGGCTCTCACTGCGTCGCTCCCTACTCCTGTCACTGACTACTACCGCACGTACCGTCCTCTTCTCTCTCGTAATCTCGCCTCGCTTGTTACTCACCCTCGTGCCTCTCTGTCCTCTGTGTCCGCTCTTACTGCCGCAGTCACTGAGTTTGCCTCTACCCGCCGCCTTGACTTCGCCACCGCTCTTGTGGCTGCTCCTCCTTCCAGTCCTCTGGCCGTCGGGGGTGTGTCTGCCCTTGGCTGTGACGCCCTAGAGGACAGGCAGTTTGAGCTAGAGTTCCTGGCGGCCGCTTCCCCTCATCTCTGTGCCATGCTCCTCGCCCCTGAGGGTGACCCCGACGCCCTTGACATTCCGACTCCTCGCACTTACGCTGAGGCAGTGTCAGGGCCTTGGGCCTCTCAGTGGAGAGCTGCCATGGACGCAGAGATGGCCTCCTACAGATCCACAGGCACCTACGTCGATGAGGTTCCCCCTCCGGGGGCGAACGTAGTCGACGGCATGTGGATCTACAGGGTGAAGCGGCCACCGGGATCTCCTCCGGTCTTCAAGGCGCGCTACGTGGCTAGAGGTTTCAGTCAGCGCGAGGGAGTTGACTTCTTTCAGACCTTCGCGCCCACCCCGAAGATGACCACTCTTCGGGTGTTACTACACGTAGCAGCACAGAGAGACTACGAGTTACACTCTCTCGACTTCTCTACTGCTTTCCTTCAGGGCAGTCTTCACGAGGAGGTCTGGTTGCGTCGTCCCTCTGCCTTCACTGGCTCTTTCCCTCCTGGGACCCAGTGGAGGCTGAGGCGACCGGTTTACGGTCTTCGTCAGGCTCCTCGTGAGTGGCACGACACCCTGCGTTCTACCCTGTCTGACCTTGGGTTCCAGCCGTCTTCTGCTGACCCGTCGCTGTTCGTTCGTCGTGGCCCCACACCTTTCTTTGTTCTGGTCTACGTTGACGACCTTGTTTTCGCCACCCCTGACAGGGTTGCTTTGGCACACGTGAAGTCCGAACTGCAGAAGAGACACACCTGCACTGATCTTGGTGAGCTGCGCCACTACCTTGGCCTACAGATCACCAGGGACAGAGCTGCTCGCACCATTACACTTTCACAGTCGCACATGGTGCAGCAGGTCCTTCAGCGGTTCGGGCTTCAGCACTCCACAGTACAGCGCACACCTCTTGCTGTTGACCACAGACTCACTGGACCCTTTCCTGACGAGCCGTTCGAGCCTAGTGGTCCCTACGCAGAGCTTGTGGGTTGCCTCATGTACCTGATGACTTGTACTCGCCCGGACCTCGCCTTCCCTCTCAGCGTTCTTGCGCGCTTTGTTGCGCCAGGGAGACACCGTCCTGTTCACTGGACAGCAGCTGTGAGGGTGGCGAAGTACCTAGCGACGACGTCAGGCGTGGGGCTAGTTCTTGGAGGGCAGCAGTCTGTCGTACTCACTGGTCACTGTGACTCCTCTTACGCTGACGACGCTGAGACTCACAGGTCTACTCAGGGGTACTGTTTCAGCCTGGGTTCTGGAGCTGTTTCCTGGCGGTCCACGCGCTCCTCTTCGGTCTCGACCTCTACAGCTGAGGCTGAGATCTACGCTGGTGCCATGGCGGCACAGGAGCTGCGTTGGTTGACCTTCTTGCTCACCGACCTTGGTGAGCGGCCGAGCTCTGCACCGACCTTGTTCACTGACAACAAGGCGTCTATTCTCCTTTGTCGAGAGCCACGACTGGAGAGCAGAGTGAAGCACATTCACGTCAGGTACTTTCTTCTGCGAGAGTTGCAGAGGCGTGGACAGGCTCGCTTTGAGTTTGTGGAGTCCGAGGCCAACACTGCAGACATCTTCACCAAGGCGCTTCCGCCTTGTGACCACCAGAGGTGCTGTGTGCAGTTAGGCCTTGTTGACACTGGTTCTCGTGTTGCTTAGACTTGAGTGTACTGTTTACTTTGCTTTCTATATATCTCTGTTACTTCTTGGACTGGCCTTGTGGCCACTGTTGTTTGTGCTCAGACTGTGTGGTGACGTTGTGATCCACCCTGAGCTTCGTTTCTTGGACTGGTCTTGTGACCGTACTCGTTTGGTTCTGCTAGACACCCCTCACTTAGGCTATGGGGGTGTGTCAAATGTTGTAGCCTATAGTGAGGTTTGTCTTAGGGGGTACAAAACTTAGGGTTAGCTATATGTACCCCAACCAACATCAATGCATCATCCATTCTTCATTCTGACATGGCAGTGTACCAGGGTCTAGGTTTTTTTTTTGTGTGTGTGTTTTTTTTTTTTTTGTGTTTTTTTTTTTTGT